GGGGTTTTATGAAAAATAATGAGGTTGTTAAGATCTGTCATCATCTATGGAAGTGATGAATTCAGATTTCAACTCCTGTGATGCCCTATAGTCAGATTGTAGAGAACTTGCTGTTTGTGATGTGCTTATCTAATGAAATTATAAATCTGAAGCTGAAATTCAAAATTTCCACTGTGAAAAGCCATGGATTTAGCTCAGTGGCATAAGCCCCTGCCTTGCAAGTGCATGGTTGTAAGTTCAGTCCCTGTACCAAAAAAAAAAAAAATTTTTAAAAGGGGCTGAGGATTTAGCTCATTGACATAAGCACCTGCCTGGCAAGTGTGAGGTCCTGAGTTCGATCCCTGGTACCACACACACACACACACAAATTTCCACTGTGGTGCTGCTCAGACACCTGTGATTTTACACCTCCATGACTTCTTTTGTCACTGCCTATTGAGACCCCGTGATGTACTTCTCATCCATGTTATACCACTCCCTCTCTTTCCTCCTTCTCTAACAGCTTTTTTCCACCATCGTTCATGAAATTAAGTGCATCTGTCTGCTACCACTGCCATATTAAAATGTCACAGATTGGAGACTTCACCAAAAGGAAATTTTCTGTCAGTTCTGGAGAACCAAATCTAATTCAGTGGTTAGGTTCATATGAGGGATGCTAGACGATGTGGTATATCACAGAAAACCCACCACACTGCTGGCCCTTAGAGAAGAAACTGAAAAAGCATGTAGCAATCTCAATGACCAAAGTTATCCTAGCAGCAGTATGCTGTGCTAATAGATGTTTGGAAGCTCATGGCCACCACTTTGAGCACTTCTTATAATTGTAGAGCCAAATGTAGCTTGTATTAATCTCATGATGTTTCAATAAATTTAGTACTAAAATATTTGTACAAGTTTTTCTTTTCCTGAAGTAGATGTACTCCCCCCCTACTGTTTTTTGTTGTTGTTATTGTTGTTTTTTAATGGTGGGAATCAATCACAGGGCTTTATGTATGATGCTCGGTAAGTGCCTGGCATATATATATTTTCAAAAAACACATTAGCATTTTGTGTATATTTGAAATCTTGAAACTGTAAAAGCCTTTGTTAAGCAGTTAAAAAAAAAAACCACCTAGTGTCAAGAAACCTTGTTTCCTAAAATCATAGATTGTCAGAAACTTTCCTATTTGAAATCTTATCAGCGAGACTGAAACAATCTGCATTTGTGTGGAGGGTCTGAGTCATTTTGACACAGAAAAGCAGCTGGGGTACAACTTCAGATAAAGGTTTCTGGAAACAACATTCAGTTTCTTTTACCATAGTAGTTACCAAGGAAACAGGATCCTGAGGTGGTTCCTTGGACTAGGAACCAAGGTTGGATGTTAACTACTTTATGTATAGTCTTGCTTTAATTTGAGTCTGCAAAAACATCACTGCCTTTACACTTTAACCTGTACCCTTCCCCAAGACCTGTAACACCTTGTCCTTCCCTGTGTATGGTGGGACACCCGTGTTTCTTTTGGAGAATAGTCTCAATTGTTGCAGCAAATTAGTAAACTTGACAATTATCAGTCTGCAATTCTATTTCTAATTTTTTCCCTCCAGTACTGGGAGTTGAACTCAGGGCCTTGTACATGCTAGGGAGGCACCCCCCCTACTGTGTTACCTCCTCAACCCTTTTTACTTTTTATCAGTTGCTCAGGTTGCCCTTCAATTTATATTCCTTGGCCTCAGTTTTCCAAGTAACAGGGATTACAGGCATATTCTACCATGCCTGGTTTCCTGATGATCTTTATCAGATGAAACTTATAAAAATATGCATACATAGTATTACGGAAAATCTGTCTTTTTACTTTTTAAAAATTCCACCCAGTATTTGGACAACATCCATTTATGTTGCTATACGTAAATCTAATTCATTGCTTCTAACTTCTAAATAGAACTCCACCTTACAAATACACGCACACTTCCACACACCATTTTGCTTCTGCTATTTTCCTAGAGGTAGGTAACCAGAGTTGCCTCCAGTTCCTTTGTTTACACATAATGCTGTCTGTCCTCATTCATTTCCTCTGAAGCCTCCTGGAGGAATTTCTTGGATATAAATACAGAAGTGGTACTGCTGTATCCTCATGGGTACTGCCAGGATTTTTCTAAGTATTGTCAGGATAGAAGTTCCCATTTTGCTAGAATTTGGTATATCTTCTGCTTTCCAGTGTTCTCCAATTTGATGAGTATAATGAAGTATTCTATTTTTGTTTCTGTTTGTATTTCTTTGAGTGTAAAGTATCTTTTATATGTTAACTATGCAGTGCTTTGTTTCATATTTGAATTTCCAATTGATGTTTTCTCTTCTTTTAAAAACTGAACTTTCTGTTGTTATATAAGTAAAGCATGAGAGTTAGTCTTTGCCCTGGTAATATTTATAAATAACATAAATGATTTATAATTAAGCATAAATTAGACAATAGAGTTCTGTACTACTATTTCCTGAAAGCGCAAATGATAATTCCTTGAAAGAGAATATTATAGGTTGCCTTTACAGGCAGTTGGGAAAAAGAAAAAGTGACTGATTTGAAAGCTTTAGAAAGAGGTAAGTGATAGAGACCATCATGTATGAGCAACGTCAGAGGAAGGACAGGTGGTAGTTACAGAGGAAGCAAGGAAACAAGTTTGAGTTCAGGGCATTGGGGTAACTAAATTTGTGTGAGCTTTAGTTGGTAAGAGCTGCACTAGTGTGATGGTTAATTTTGTGTATCAACTTGACAAGTCCAGTGGGTGCCAAGATAGACATATCTGGATATGTCAGCAAGGGCGTTTCTGGATGAGGTCAGTGTTTGAATTGGTACACTGAATAAAACAGATGCTTTCCCAGTGTGGGTGGGCATCATCTAATTTGTCGAGGGCCTGAGTAGACCACAAAAATGGCTGGCAGAAGAGTTCAGTCTTTCTGCCTGCCAGTTTGAGCTGGGATGTTAGTCTTCTAACTTTGACTCAAATTTATGCTTTTTTGGTCCACATTTCTTTGAACTCAGATGAGAACTATATACTACTAGCTCTCTTGTGCCTTTTGTGTTGCAGATTAAAGATCATGGGGCTTTTCAGCCATCATAATTTGTAGGAGCCAATTCCCAATAATAAATCTCTTTTATCTGTATTATCTGTAATACAAAATATATCACAAGTCTCTATTAAAATATATAATAAATCTCATATATACAAATATGTACTGTAATAAATTGGCTTATGCAATTATGAGCAATAAAGAGTCTCACAATCTTCCCTGTACAGACTAGAGATCCAGGAAAGCCAGTTGTAGCTCCAGTCTGAATCTAAAGCCCTCTTTTTTTTTTTTTTTTTTTAAATCTCTGAAGAATCCTAATAGCACAATCCCTGGGCATATAGGTAACATGGTCAAAAGGGATGTTTCAGAAAGTCTTGATTTTCCTAAGGGAAAAGGATTGAGAAGTTAGACTAATTATTAGAACGATTATAGGTGAGCAATGGATTATTTGGACTGAAAAGAAATATGTCCTGAGTGTTAGCATTGGAGTTGAAAAGGATAATTAGAAAGATTAGAAAAAGTATTTGGTGATACCATATAAACTATGATAGAACTCTTGAAGATTCTTATCCTTTAGTCTTATGGATTGGAAATAAGATGATATTGTCTGCAAGAGGATAGTTTGGGAGGAGAAATAAGCAACAGAGGAAGAACATAAATTTCAATGGTGTCATACTTTAATTTGCATTTGGAAAAGTTATAAGGTATAGGGTGTTTACAAATTCAAGATTCTTTTTTTTCCTTTTTTCTCATTATCAGACTCTTCTTGGGCTTTGTAATCATTCTTTCTAGATACAGACTTCCATTTACTAAGTAAGTGCTACTCAGAAATTTGTCCATACTCCCTTAAGTCCTGGAAAACACCAAACAATTTTTGTACAATTGGTCATATTTTGTGATACTCAAATATTGTCTTAGAAATAGTAGTTCTACCAAATGACACATTTTGTTATAAAAACTGATTTGTTTATGGCTTGCTGACTGCATCTGTGTTGTAGGCTTTTTGGCTAATATAGTTTGTTAGAATCCTCTCAGCAAAGTGCTGCTACAATGCACATCTTCTGGGACTTCAAAATAGCCTTATTATACAGAACTTGATGTTATGCACTAATGGAATTTATTAGAATGGAATTCTATATGTATTACAACTTCCGACACTAGCCTGGCTTTTTTAGCCTCTTCACAGCATGCAGCTTTGGTAATTATGCTAATGCTAGCTGATTCATGAAGACAACTTCCTAAAGTGCACTTAATTAACTTGGAGATTTCGTAAACAGCTATACACATAGGTTCTGCAAATTGTGGCGATACGTCAGTGTGACATGTATGCAATCTGCCTTCCTAGCCTCATCACATTTTTACTAAAGCTTAAAATAAGACATTACAATTTGGTGCCTTTTGAATGAAGTAAGCTCTTGAGGAAGATTTGGGGAAATGTCACTTCCGGTGGTGTGAAGATGGAAATAGTCTGACCATGTTGGGCCAGAGGAGTTAGAAAGATGGTTGCGTTTTTAACTGGAGGAAAGGAAAATATTAAAGTTTATCTCTTTGAAAAAGGGGACAGATTTTCCAACATTTTGTTACACTGTGTACTCATCAATGAACTGTTCTGGAAATCAGGTTTCTCAATCATGATCTCTTTTTCTTTTGTGTTCCAGCTGCATCCTTGTCTGAATGGAAATTAAATGAATTTTGATGTGTTTTATTGAAATCTCTTCTGTTTGCCAGGTAAAAAGACAAGATTCATGTACCTAGAACATATAGCCAAGAATATCATTGCCATATCAGAAATTACACACAACAAAAATACAAGAGAAAAGTCACATCAGAGCCAAGACTAAGCTAATTAAAATGGAAAGGAGAAATACCATCAGGAAAGCACAGAAGGAGAAAAAACACTACATACAATTAGAAGAAATAGGAATTGCATAGAGCAAATGACAATAGAGGATAGATATAGTTTTTAATAATCTATTTATTAAAAGTACATAAAATTACACTGTCAGATAAGTCTTAGAAACCAAGCTAGGGATTTGCCTATGGTTTCTCAATGGTCCCAGCAAGGATGTTTTCTTTCCCTGATTAAGCTACGCTACAGTCCTAGGTACAATCTCTTAAGGAACTAGCTAGGTTATATCTAGAGATAATCAAACATTTATTGCTTAGACTTTTCTTTGACTTCTACAGTCAGCACCTCCTCGTTGGTCTCAGCAGAAGGAGCCATGCTGATGATGAGTGACTGATGGGTAGTTTCTCGCAGTAAAACTGCCTTTCTAGTCATCTGGGGCATTTCCTCTGCCATTACAGGACTTGCTTCATCTTTGGACTTGTCCAATGTTTTCTCTGCTGGCTCTTTTCCTTTATCTTCATCTTCTTTTGTTTTACCTTCTCCTTTGGAATTTCCATTTATTTCCTGGAGGAAGCAGTTACAAGAAATTACTGTTGAATAATTAAGGACAGGGAGTCTTTTGTCTAGCATGTATCGGTCAAGACCAAGCCAAAGGTCATCTGAGTTAAGTGACTAGGGGAATCGCGTCTGTCCTGCTTCCAGCTGTCATTTCACTAAGTTTTCTGGTGTGCTGGAGATTGGAGCGCAGCTGTTAGGTTTTTGATTTTACAGTTTTAGACTAGGTCACATTTTTTGTCCCTGCCAACGAATTCTCTTTCTTATTGGTCATTATACTCCTAGAATTACTAGATACAATGCTTAGGACTTTTGTTTCTGCTTTTTACATTTCTGCTTTAAAATTAAGATCAAATTTTAAATGTTTATCTTTTAATTTAAAAAGTATTAACCAAATCCAATGTTCTCCATTTGTCACATATGTATTTGAGCTATCCCTTTTGAACCTATTGTATTTAGTATTATCTATAGCAACTTCATAGTAAAGAACATAACATATGTTCTTTATAATATATCATAAAGAACATATGTTATGTTCTTTACTAAAGGTGCTTGGGGTAACTTTGAGACAGACTTGCTGAAAAAATAAACCTGTACAGATAAAGTTGGAATCTTAACATTTTTACTTATATAAATATGTCTTTACTCTCATATATCTTTTTTGAAAATTATGATTTGTGTGCTGGTACAAATGAAGCATTTGATTTACAGTCTATATGTAATTCTCACTACAATGTTGTATGTGAAGAAAAGAAAGAGACAAATTTTAATCTCTTGAATGTTAGTGACTCTATACTATCTGCTTTTTTTAAAAATTCTTTTTGACAGGGTACCACTACATGTAGACTTTGCCAGTAAAAAAAAGTATGCACACTTCAAAGAAAAATAGTATGATGTTTTTTTAACAGATGGTGTTACTGTTACTCTCATATAGGGGACCCCAGAGGATGTGATAGATCACAGGAAGCCCACTACACTGCTGCACATTAGAGAAGAAACTGAAAAACCATGTGTAGCAATCTCAATGACCAAGCTTACCCAAGCAGCAGTGTGCTGTACTAATAAATGTCTGGAAACTCAATGGCTACCACTTTGAACACCTCTTGTCATTTTAGGGGCCAAAGGTGGCTTGTATTAGTCTCATGATATCTCAATAAATTTAGTATTTAAATATTTGTACGGGATTTTCTTCAGAAGTGTGTACACAATTTTCTGTCAGACTCTACCTATAGTACAGGCTGAATTTGAACTCCCTATGTAACCTAGGCTGGCCTTGAACTTACTATCTTTCTCCTTCAATCTTCTGAATGATATGTTTACAGGTGTGCCCCATACCTAGATGCTTTAATCATGGTGTAAAAGGTCTACAGCTATCTATTTCTTATAATTTTAGAGAGAACATGATGGTTATTTTCAGAAAAGTTAAATATCTGTTTCTCAATATCTGCTTTCATAGGTTTTTTGCAAAAATCAAAGAAATGTAGAAACAAAAAATAATATTTCTTTACATTTCTGTGAATTAGAAGGCAGTTCAGTGTGAGTATGTTAAATCTGAACATTGAGTAGTAATTTTCTTTTTGCGTTGCAAATAAATCTGATCTTTTCCAAATTTATTAACCTGGACCTCAGTTTCTTCATCTATCATACAAAGAGTCTGAATGAGCTCTGTAAGTCTGTAAGGTTATTTCTCTCTTTAACCTTCTTTTATGTTTATTAGTGCATGTTTGTTGAACAGAATGATTACTTTTATTGTGGCTGTTGGTCCATCTACATAGCACATCTTAATTCTTTTTACTTCCCTTTGCCATCCCCTCTTTCCTGTATGTCAGGATCCCTATCCATTTTGTATTATCTATATTTTATCTTGATTTTTAAATCATTTATACTTTGAGTTTTTCTCTAAACAAAATCATGTGATATTTATGCTATATGTCTGATTTATTTCAGTTAATATTATAATCTCAAGATGCACCCAATTTCCTACAAATAACTGAGATATATCATTCTTTATGTCTGAGTAGTGGTCTATTATGTATATATACATTTTCCTTAACTGATTATGTATTGATAGGCACATAGGCTGCTTCCAACATTTAGCTGTTATAAATTTTACTATTATACACATGGTATGCATGTAAATATTATCTGTGTATACACAGATAATATTTGTGGTTATATTTACCACCATGTTGGTAAAATGGCTTATATATTTATATGTGTGTTTATATGTACATATACTGTTGTATACCCATGGTAATTTTGTTTTCTAGAGTTGCCACAAACATGGGATTAACAAATACTGAACCACTGCTTCTAGAGTTAAAATACAAGATTAGATTCCTCAGAGCCTTGGGTCATGACATTTTTGTCAACAATCAGTATATGTTTTATGTGTATTTTGATCTGGGTATACTTATCCAGGACTCTCTCCATTACAGTCTTGCATTCATTCACTCTGCCTCAAGAATTAATTTGAGGAATTGTTGATTCATTATATTCCACTCATGGACAATAACATACTATACTTGATCTTCGCCAAGAGACTGAGAAGTGATCACAACAACATTAAAACTAATAATTAAATAAAGCTTATCTAACACACATACTTTCTAAGGTCTGTCACAATATTGTTGCAGTCAATACTCAGGACAGTATTTTAGCACTGCGCTTGCAAAATATTACATCAAATAACACAGCAAAGGGATCACTTTTGTGCCATGTAAAAGTGAAACAAGAAAGTAGTGTTTTCCTGTTCAGTCTCAGCATGGAGAGGAGGCATCAAGGAACTTCCTTTTTTCCAGGCTGTAAATGTGTTTGTCTGAGAATGACTGTAAAATCATAGTATTGATTGAGTTTACAAATAAAATATGAAGAGTGGGTAGATTCACAAACACACAGCTCATGAATACTGAGGATCAATTGTATTTATGAATACATACATATCAAAGCCATTTGTAATGAACTATGAACATTAAATGTGATGATATAGAGGAATATAGTTTAGATAATAAATGTAGTACACAAAGGGGTAATTATTAGCCTTAGATTCATCCAGATCACCCCAGTTCTGATGGAATTAGAGTAGGTATTGATCTGGGTATACTTATCCGGGACTCTCTCCATTGCAATCCTGCATTCATTCACTCTGCCTCATTACCTGCACTGTCTGTTCTCTCTTCAATCTGAGCAGTCTTGCAAGATCTGCTTTTCCTCTGCCTCCCAGAAGAGCTTTAAACATTTTAGGCATCTCTTGTTTTGATGAGACGAGGAACGCAAATCCTTTTCTTGGTGGTGTCGCTTCTTTGTGCTGATCCTTCTGTTTTAAAAGTACTCTGTAGACAAGGGACAACAGCCATTTCAGTTACCTTTGTGAGAGTTTTCACAAAATCTACCAGAAAAGAAAGGTAATTTCTTCTAGCAGTAAACTTTTAGTAGGTAACCACAAGAACACTTGTAACACTTGTTTTTAAGCATATCTCAAGGTGAAAGTCAACTATAATCATAATAAATCTTTCTTTATCTTAATCTTTCATAAAGTAAAATCAACTCTGTCCCCTTCTATTGGGGTTTTAACAGTTGTACCTGGCTTTCTTCATGAGGAGCTTTTCAGAATCTGGATAATTCACCAGAATTTCATGAAAGGTCTTTTTGTTCAGAGTTAAAAGATTGGCAAACCCATGGGCTACCACATTGGCAGTTCGGCGATTTCCTCCTCTTGTTGCCAGAAGGCTACGAGAGAGAAAAGTAAGTCTTGGCCACCAGTTTCATTCCTCTTTCACCGAGGTCTTTTAAAACATAAACAGCAAATATTATAACCATTTCCTCCCAGAATGCATTTGTTCTCCTGAGCATAGGTCCATATTCAGGAGAGAATACTATACCAGAACCTTATGCTTCCTGAAGGAAGAGCACTTTCCCCAGTGTAGCTCCTCAAGCCTTCCCAATACAGGGGGGAATGGGAAGCTAAGGAACACTTGTGAGTTCATAACACAGGGAGCCCATCCTGCAAGAGGCTGAGACATAGTTATAACATTTTAGATTTCTTCCCCTCCCTTTCACCTTGCCCTTCCCTATAGGTTTCCTGAGTAAGAGCGAATTAGAGCTGATGCAGCCGTGGGAGGCAAATGCTCTCTGAAGAGCATGGCAAAAGGAAGTAAAGGCAAAAGTGGAGCAGAAACAGAAACACAAGAGGAACCAAAAGCTTCTGGCATCTACAGCTAAGGCAAACATTAACCACTCGCCTGCTGGGTGTGATGGTGCATGCCTGTAACCTTGGGTACTCAGAAGGCTGAGACAGGAGGATCAGAAGCTTCAAGGCCAACTTGGGCAACTGATTTTTCTTTCTTTCTGTTTTCTTTATTTTCTTTCTTTTCTTTTTTTTTTTTGTACCAGGGATTGAACTCATGACCTCACACTTGCCAAGTTTATGCCTGCTGAGCTCAATCCCTGGCCCCTAACTTGGGCAATTTAGCAAAACTCTGTCTTAACATGAAAATAGCATGAATGGGACATAGTGGTGCATGCCTATAATCCCAGCACTAGGGAGGATGAAACAGGAGGATGGTCATGAGTTTAAGGTCAGTTTGGGTTACAGGGTAAGTTCAAAGCTAGCCTGAAACTATATAGTGAGACCCTGTATCAAAAAGGAAAAAAAAAATACTGTAAATGTAAAATGAAACCTTTAGGGCAGCAATTAAGTGTTTCAAAAATAACGAAAATTATGCTAAGAGGGGAGAAGAAGAAAGGAATCACATAAAATGTCCGATTAAAGCCTAAGCGAGGAAGAAAGAAAAGAAAGAGAAAAATCCTACTGTAAGGTCACCTTATGGGATCAAATTTAATCAGTTAATTCTACCTAATATTAAAGATGGATACTAGGGAGGGCAATCCAAAATTCTCCACAGCATATAAGAAGGGAATTAGTCCTCCAGAACACAAAGGTTATATTTATAATCCATAAGTATGACTGTATAATGTTTTCTTATTTTGATCAATAATTTTGCCATTCAGTTCTTTCACTCCATGCCCAGAAAACACTTTAGTCCTTCTTTAAGGTTCTTTCTGAGACAATCTGTCTTTACCAGAGAAGCAAGAGAAATTAGTTTTATTCCATCTACCTATGTATCATCTTAACTATCTATCTATCTATCTATCCTCTAGTTCTCTGTCTCTAATGACCATTCATTATGCTTTCACACACTTATCTACCCAAATTCCTATTTACCTTCCTATCTATGAAGTGGGTGTTGCTATTAAAAAAAACCCCAATGACCGGGTAAGTCAATTTCATTCACATTCCTGTAGCCTTGAACATAGGGTAATCCAGTAATTAGGCAGTACTAAATGGCATTGGTGAGCTTAATTTGAATCTGAGAGTGCCTCTGTGAGTATGAGAGACTATAAGAAGACAGCAGAAATAACATATTTAAATGTCAGGTTATTTTGAGATTTCTCAAGCTTTAATTAAACTTGCCTACAGGTTACACGTTTGGAGTGCTTGATGAGTTTTGAACGGAAGAAATAGTCTGTCTGCCAGATGGATTTTGCCCAAACTCTCAGCAGTGTTTAAAATAGCAGCTGTTTTTCCTCCTTCTTGTCCACAAAGTGCTTCTCTAGCATTCAACCAATGTAAAGTTTCACTCATTAAATCGCTTAGTAAGGAACTTCCTAAATATTCCCAACCGCATAGAATTTCTCCAAGAGCTCATCCTGGAGAACAAATACTTCAAGTTAATGTTCAATGTCTCTAGGTTAAAAACAAATAAACAAATGTGAATGGAGGAATGACCCAGGAAACAAAGAAATTGGTTCTAATCTTAGACTTAACTTCTGTTAGAAATGACTGACAAATAGCTAAAGGACTTTATTGATTTTTTCCTTCTATCATAAGTGTTATGTCCCTACTTTATATTCTACATGATGAAATGAAGTAGGAGAAAAGCCATGGTATGGTTTTGAGAAAAGAATACAGGCTTTGGAACCAAGTAACTTGACTGTTGCTTAAGTATGTTTATGGACAGGTTGCTAATCTTTCCTGTAGGATACAAAGCCATCTTTATTACTTATCACAGGTTTTTGATTATAAAGTATTAGATGTTTGAGATATGCCTAATAGTCAATTATGAAGAAGATACAATTAGATAAATTCTGAGTGAACAGTTTTAAGCTCTACTTTGTGAAGCTACTTGTTTTGTACTAGTGTGCCAAAGTTGGGCAAGTAAACAAAAGTAGTGTGAATGGTCCCAGTGAGATAGTATATTCATATGAGAGAACTTGTATGTATAAATGTCAGGAACAGGTAGCAATTTAGATATACACCACACACCACCCAAACACACAACTGCAATTTGAAAATGTTCTCCAAACTTCATGTATGAGAAACTTAATTTTCAAATTCATATGTTAATAATATTTGGAGATGGATCCTTTGAAAGTAATTAGGATCAGAAGTCATGAGAGCAGGGCCCCTTCTGAGAGTATAAGTGGTCTTATAAGGAGATCCAGCTTGCTCTGTCTCACCTCTGCTATGATGCAGCAAGAAGACCACCACCAGATGCCAAGAGGATGCCAGTGTCTTAATTTTGGAAGAATGTCACAGAGTTATGAGCTGAATAAATTTCCATGCTTTGTAAATTACTTAGTGTTATGGCTTGTGTCTAGATGTCCCTCCAAAGCTTCATGTGTCTCTGAAAAAAGTGGGGCTTGTTCAGAGGTGGCTGAATACAGAGTGATGATGGGATTAATGTGTGGTATAGTGCGAGGATCAAGGGCACTAGGATTAATGGCATGAGTGCTCCCTGCCCTAAGTAGCCTGGATAAGATAGAAGAGACCGAATGAGATAAGGTTGTCCCTTATTACTTTACTACCTTCTCCTCACCATGAACTGTTTCTCTTCTGTGATGCCTGTCTGCCTTGGAGCCAGCTAATTATGAACTGAAACTTCCACAAACTGTGAACTAAATAAACCTTTCCGCCTTTAAATTTTGGGTGTTAGATATTTTATGTCAGCAATGAGAAAAGTAAGACACTTACTTTGGTAGGTGTCTTTATTATTTTGTTATAACAACAGAAAGTGACATATATATATATCACATATAAGACACATATACATGTTAGCATATTTTCCTTACAGAAAGTTAGAATATTCAGATAATTCTTAGTCATTTACTCATTCTGAATTTTTTCAGGGTCACCACACATGGCATTACAAATTGTGTGTTGCATATACACAATATAATGACATTTGACACCCTGGACATTTTTAGTGCACAACTTGCACAGCCCTTTCCAGCATAGCCACTGTATTCAGAAAGTACTCACATGGGAAAGTGGAAAGAAAATGCATTGAGTATAGAAGCAAAAGGCAAACAAGAATGGGAATATAACTTAGAATTTATTTAAAAAGTCAAGCTTTGCTGCAAAAGGGTTCAAATTTGGCTTTAAAATTATTTTTTACTACAAATAAATAGATCAGTTCTTCATTTTAAGACAAGTAGAAATATCTCCTGAAGGGCTTAATAGAACAAAACCACTCTGCAGTGATGAAGAACTTACTCAGAAGACACAATGGTAAGTTTGCCAGGACTGTTTGTAACAAAATCCCAAGAAAAAGCTGTGTGTGATGCTCAAATACAGTTTACTAAGAGTAATTCTATGAATGAAGCACGATTGTCAGTATAATACATTCCAGACATCCAGAAATGTGTCTGTTGCTCTAGAATGATCCATGGTACTGGTTAGAATATTTGGAGAAACAATCCTTAAATCTGATTTTCCTCAGATGGGCTTATTTACTATCTATTTTTGAGGTGTAGGGAACCAATCCTATGGCTTTGCACATGCTACTGATCCACTGTCCAATTCCCAAGCCTGGCTTTGATAAACCCTCAAAAGTTTTTATATGAGTTTAATACTTATAGATGATTGTGCTTTTAGAGGTTAATTGCGCTGGGGAAGATAAATAATTTACAGTATAAATTGAAAGGAAAATAAATTAACATAAATTATGCACACAAACATAGCACACTGTACTCCATAAAGGGCTTGTTCTGAGCTTATATCAGTGATTAACATCTGCTCTCAGGATGTTTGTACACTGGGAGCAAATATTGGTATCAATAATTACAGCATTAGTATCTAACGTTATTGAGGGGTATGAGACAAATAGTTTTCTGACCTCATTATTATTATTATTATTATTGTTATTATTGAGACAATGTCTTACTCCGTAGTTCAGGCTGCCTTGAACTCACTATGTAGCTCAGGCTGACCTCAAACTCACAGTGATCCTCCTGTCTCAGCTTCCCAAGTGCTGGGATTACAAGCGTGTGCTATCATGCCTGGCTCTAAATTCTTTTTGTTAACTCCAGTAACACTTTTCAGTCATGTAAGGTAGTTTTGTATTACTGTGACTCCATTTTGACAGATGAAGTAATGAAGTCTTTCAGATCTCATAAATCATGGCATTGAAATATAAAGCTCTTCAGGCAGCTTTTTAAGGCAGATAAACATTAGAATTATTAATGCTTTGATAACTGTAATGGCCAAGAGTGTTTCCTAAAGTAAAGATTGTCTTAAATGCCTTTCCTCATGTAGAATTATTTCCTAAAATAGATATAAAACTAATTCTCAGCACTGTCAGTGAAAAATCTAATACTGAGAAAAAGACCAACACTTTAAATATTTGTTCTCTTTAAGCAAACTCCCAACTGAGTTGTATGTGGAAGAC